ATATGTGTGTGTGTGTGTTGTGTGTGTGTATTTGCACGCACGATGTAGCAAAACATAAAATATCGTACATATGCACGGATAAAGAATACCGGTAAGGTGTTCTTTTACTGAACATAACTATCATCCCAACTTATGTAGGGATATTTAAAGAAATTCAATAGCTTGTATACGCTGATATATGCATATACAGTATTATATTGAGGGTGACTCAGTTATGGTATTATTAAATATGCGAATATGTTTACCAACGCACGCGCTTTGACTAGGGGTTGTGTGTTGTTTAGTGCGGTCCAGTGTTCGCGTGCAAAAAAAAGTCGCTTTGCACTGTATGTGTTTCTTCTACCAGTCCGACACGAAAAAAATCATATATATATATATATATATGTGTGTGTGTACATCATCAGTCTTGGACAAAGCGAAGTTGTGCAGTTATATAGCCCGCTTGCACAGACGAGTATGTCAATCTACAACAGTACAATCATACTCGTAATCATACGCAGCAATGCCTCTTTTTATTTATCATAAAGTATGATACCATACTAAAAACACATACCTGTTTCAGCGACTTCGCCCGTTTCGACTGAGGGGCGGAACCCCTACTATCACTCCCGCTATCATCAGTATCTGACACTTGCCGTTTCTGTCGGCCCGACATGTCTGCTAAGGTACGAACGCGTACGCTATCGCTTTCTTGCAGTCCTCAAATATGATATCTCACTACAGTAGTGCTATTAGTGGGCTTCCACAAGTAGAATTGTTAATTTAAAGGTGATGCGGTGATGCGGTGTACATACTACATATAATAACGTGAAGTATGTATTATATTATTCATATGTACATACACATACAATCGACTATTTTTAAAATACAATACATCCCAATGTGGTACATGCATCATGAATCGGCATAGTATACTCGGATTCCCAGGAATCCGTAAAGTTCTCATCCGAAGATCTGATTGGCTTCGGCTTTGCATTTTTCTCAGCGACAGCCCGGAGAGGCTCTCTACCCTCTCTGGGGACCAGACCTCCGAAGATTGTTCCCCACCCCCCGGGCCGCTGTGATGTGTTCATCAAAACAGTAAACAGTAAACACTAAAAACACTACCATACATATGGCGAATTCTCCACTTTCAACGGACAACTCCTAAACAATATAAAGAGCAATTCATACCAACTTTAAAGGTCAAGTATCAACCATAGTGTATTAAGATCATGGCAAGCCAGGAAACCAGAAGGATACTCAACTCGCTGAGAGAGAAGTACAACAATAACGTATGTATTACGAAGTAGATTTCGATTTCGAGTGCAGAAAATTCTCCACACTTTCATTGCGTGTTTATCCACTTTTCTGGCGTCGTATAGTGAATCTACTGTGTGCCAACTTCAGCCACACTTATATCGATGTATTTAAATTTCGGAATAAATACGATATGAGTGTTATCATTTAAATTAGTATTTAACATCCTTTCATATATATATATATATATATATATATATAAACACATATGTAAATATGTATGCATGTATATATGTATGTATATATGTATAATATATACATACACACACGCACACACGCACACACACACACATATATATATATATATACGCGCGCGTGTGTTCTTAGTTTTCTATATATATATATGTGTATATATATATACGCGTGTGTGTGTTCTATGTATATATACTGATACATACGCACACGCACACACACAC